TTATACTAATTATATTTAGTTTAATACTACTACTATTTACTTTTAAAAACTATATATAAAGTAACTAAAAGATAATATATTATAAAGTTATTTTAATAATAGCCTCCTAAAGTAATATTTTAGCCTTATTTTATACTAATAAAGTAGTAAAGGACCTATATTATATCTAGGGTTAACCTAATACTTACTAAGGTAAGTAAAAGAGTACTACTACTATTAGATCTATATACCCCTTTATAGGCCTTTTAACACTTTTTTAGCTAAAACTTTACTTTATTAGGTTTTACTTATAAAAAATATTTCCTAAAAAAAAGATTAGTATAAGAAAACAAAAAAATTAACTTATAGCTATATAAACCTTATCTAATTCTATATATAATAAGAAAAAGATACCCTAGAAAAAAAAGTTAAAGAACTAATAATAATATTAAGTATTATATATATAGTAATATATAGTGCATTTTATAGCTTTAAGTTAGCTAGTTATAGTAGTAAAGTTAGTATAATTATATTTACTAGGTTTATAAAGATATCTAGGTTTAAAGTTTAAAAAACTAGTAATAAGCTTTCTAAAGTAGCCTAACTACTCTACTGTTAATAATAATAAAAGGTAAATATATTAAATTACTATTAAAAGCTATTTAATTAGTTATCTTAAAGGTAACTAATTAATTAAAGGTACTTGCTTTACTAGCCTAGCTACTAATATATACTTATTAGTAGATTTTTTTACTACTACCTTTACTAGCCTATACTAGACTAACCTATTTAGCTAGATTTACTATACCTCTAGCTACTAATACTACTATTACTAACCTTTACTTTTATAACTTTACTTTTCTTACCCTTCTTTATACTTTTTTACTTTTATTACTTCTTCTGTTTTCTTATTAAGGTTACTACTACTAGAGCTACTATTAATTAAAGCCTTTAAATAATAATAATAATAAAGTTACTAGCTAGAGCCTTACTATAAGTATAGTACTAGATTTCTCTTAAGATCTACACTTTTTTAGTATATATATACTAATAACTATAGCTAATAATATTACTACTAACTTTACTATTAAGACTTTATATTATAAAATACCCTTTTTTATTACTTACTAGACTACTAGCCCTTATTACTTTTACTTTTAAAGACCTTATTACTTTTATTAACTTTACTATCCCTATTATTAAAAATAACTATCTTATTACTAATAAGTAAATAGTCTACTTTACTAGTAGTATTAACCTTCTTTACTACTATAAGATTTAATACTACTATTAATAACCTTTACTAAAAGATAATACTAATATAAAACTATAAGAATATACTATACTACTAGTATAAATAAGTAATAGATATATAGAACCCTTAGCTAGTAGTAAAATACTTAAAGCTACTACTATTAATACTACTACTAACTATTACCTAACTAGTATATACCTAGTAAGCCTAATAACCTTATAAGTTATATACCTAGCTATATAAATTATATTAACTATACCCTAGATTTAGAGAAAGTAACTTACCTAGAGGTAAACCTTATCTCTACTAGTAACTTAAAGAACAGGAGAAAGAAATCTAGTCTCTTTAACACTAGGTCTACTAACTACTACTACTACTACCTTATATAGCTACCTAGTACTATAGTTAAGATACTCTAGATAAGAATAATAAAGATAATAAAGATAATAAAGATAATAAAGATAATAATACTATTAGTTATACTAAAGAGATAGGTCCCTAGGATAATAATAATAGATCTATCTATATAGGGGATTATTACTATAACTTTAATAAATCTAATAGCTAGCTAGTAACTAATAGCTAGCCTACTTCTAGCTAACTAGCCTATAGTTAGCTAGTATCTAGCTAACTTACCTATAGCTAGCTAGTATAGAACTATTAACACTACTAGCCTATATATAATATTAACTAACCTATATATTAATAACCTATATATACGCCTAGCTAGCTAACTTATAGTTAGCTAGCCTAAAGTCTATATTTATACTTATATACACCTAGCTAGCTAACTTATAGCTAGTTAACTTATAGTTAGCTAACTTATAGTTAGCCTATATATATACCTAACTAACTAGTGTACTAACCTAACTACTATTAACCTAACTACCTAGCTAGTAATAATAACTAGGATTATAGTAGTAATAATAATAGTAACACTATTAGAGATAACACTAATAAGTATAAAGACTTTAATAACTATAAGAATAAATATAGTAATAATAGATATAGTAATAGTTATAGTAATAATAATAACTATAATAAAGACTATTAACTCTTAGGTATACTCTTTCTATAATAGCTATAATAGCCTTATAAAAGCCTAAAGTATATAGTTAATAACCTTATTAACTAGTAATATTAACTACCTTATTAGCTAGTAATATTAAATAATTACTATATAATAATTATTTCTATTATTAGGGGGGCACTTGTTATAGGACAATATATAGCTAACCTTTAGATCTACTTTCTTAGCCTTGCTAGTAGATCTATTAGTTAGGCTAATATCCTGCTAACAGCTGGTGCCCCACTAGGCCCCACCTGTCGCCAGTCTATAAGACCAGCTGTTACTAGCTATAGCTCTAGCTCTTAGTTAGTTATTAAATCTATTACTTACTTAACTATATTATATATACTACCTATATATAACTTAAGTTATTCTAGCTAACTATAAAGTATAATCCTCTTTTAATATAACTAAGGGCTAAGTAACTAGTGTATACCTTTTAACCTTAAATTATAAACTATTTATAGTTAACTAACTAGGTATTATATAATTATTTATATTAATATTCTAATAATACTAATTAAAAAGGTTAAATAATTCTTTAAAAAAGTTAATAAAGTGCTATTAGGAGAATATACCTACTAGCTATATAATTAGCTTACTTAAAAAGAAGTAGTAACACTTATATAGCTTAAAACTAAAATAACTAAACTAAACTACTATCTATATTAAATTAATATAATATCTTTAGATTTATATAGATATTAATAAGTAGTAGAAATAGTAAAGTATTCTTTATTTTAATATACTAAATAGATAATGTTTTAAACTAAAATACTTTAGTATACTAAGATATAAAGAAGTAATATCTTCTTTTAATTAGAAGGTAAAGGCCCCTTAGATAATAAGAAGTAAAAGCTAAATATATAAGTAGTTTAAGTAATAATATAATTTACACTAGTAATAGGCTATCTAGATATAAAGTAATAAGAAATAGAATTAGAAGACCCCCTAATATACTAAAACTAATATAACCTTAACTAGCTACTAACCTATACTATAAACAGTAGGCACTGCTTTAGCTACTATAAATAGGATATTAAACACTTAGAGAATAGGCTTTAAGATAGTATACTAATAATATAACTACACTATAGGAATCTATAGCAAGAAGGCAGATTTAGAGGAAGCAGGAAATAGAGACAGCACTTATAGGCTTTGAGGAGACCAGGGCATAAAATTAGTATTATATATATAGTTAGCTTTAGTAGCCCTTTCAGCGTTGCCGCTGGGCGTAATAAATTGTATGTGTGTGTGTGTATGTTTTAATACAGGGCATTCCAGTGCATCTAGTCTAGGTGCTAGTTGGCACCAGTTAAACTAAGCCCTTATTACTAGTAATCCTATGCTACATTAGAAGTAACAGTTAGCTAGAAAAGAACTAAGCCTTCTGTTACTAGTACTATAGCGTCAGCGTAACTAGTCTTAGAAATCTATCTTAGAGACTAAACTAGTAACTTATAGTCTAAGAGTGCCTAGTACTAGTTAAAGTATCTCCTAATAGGCGTAGTACTAGTCACTTAGGTTCTAATACCTAAGCTACAGCCTAGGGACTAGTTAGTGCATTATTGTCTAGCTACAGTAACTAGTAGTAGTTGTATAGTATAAGTAAAATACTAGTATCTTGCCTACATAACCTTCTACTTAGCCCTAATCCTGTAGCTATAGCCTTGTTATAACCAGTAGTAAAGACCTAACACTGTCTAGTACCCTAGATACAGGGTTATATCTCCTACTACTAGGGGGCAGACGTTTACCTGTAAACTAGACCTTAGTTGTAGCCCTAGAATAAGGACAGACATTTAAGTGTATTATAGCTAGCAGCAAAACCAGGAGTTAGGTAGTACTTATAGTAGGATATAGTAATTACATAGAAGCGTAGGCTATAACAAAACTATAACAAAAATATAATAATCTATAGTAATAAACCGTAATTAACGCAGCTATAACCAGTAATAGAACACAGTAAAAGAAAGCAACTAAGTACTATATTATATATATCTAGTTGCAAGGTTAATATATAGTATAAATACTAGCGCTATACAGAGAGATAGGCTTATACTATAACGCCTCTTCTATATAGCCTATAATATAAAGCCATAAGCTAGTTTATTCTACGCTTAAGAATTAGCTTACTTCTTCTATAATGTCTAAGGTGTTATATAGTTATCTAGATCTTACTACTAACTCTACTACCTATATAAGCCTCTTATAGGCAGTAATAAGTTAAGAAGGGGAATCCTATGCAATATAAGATACTATAAGTCTTAGCATTAGTATATTAAAGCCTAAGGATCTATTACTGTTAGAAGATTAGCCTTAATTTAGGTATAAACAGTTAAGGGCTACATAATTACCTTAATTATGCCTAAGTAGATAACAAGAAATATTAGCGTATATACTATAAGCTCCCTTAAACGCCTAGTAAAACACGTTTACTTAGGGAGTATTACCCTTGTTATAGGCAGTACTTATACACTTAAATATATATCTATAGCAACACTTAAAACACTATAACTAGATTATAGCTTAATTAGTCTATCCTAATAATCAAAGCTAATAATACGCTTAAGGGACTTAAACACTAACAGCAATTAGATATAAGCTAGCCTTCACATTATTTATATGCCCTTTTAGCTATTTATAATGCTATCTAGTTTCTTAAAGGCAGTAACAATATAGTAATCTAAACTAGTAATGTTCTCAGGCAGCGTAGTCGTCCCAAGTATAGAGATCCACTCAGCCAGAACCATCTCACAATTTTCAATAAAGAATTCTAACAGCTTACTTCTAATAAGCCTAATTAAAATAGTTCAGACAAGTTCTAGGATTATCCCTTTCGTCAGCCTCTCAATAGGCCGTCGCTTGCTTGACTTTGTCCGTTTTGATGCCAATCCAGGTTTCTTGTGCGCACGCTTTCTTCGCCCGATATCAGGCTTTCTCATCTTAGAATCATACTAATATCTGTGCCTTCTTTTAGCCCTCAGCATCACGGTAGCATCACCATGGCTCAAGGTAGCCCTTGCCGCTACTAGTCTGCTACTAGCTACCGTAATGGCCATGGACGTTTGTCCCATACGATGCGTTAATGCCAGTCCGAATCCAGGCATCTGGTCCGTCTATCCCAACTTCAATATCACCAAGAGGTGTCAGCAGACCATGTTCTATGGCTTCTACTTGTACGACACCGTCGATGACACCGATTCCATGCACCGCATAGCTGCTTGCTCATCCTACGGCACAGATTTCAACAACATAAAATCCGAGCCGGCGGTCACCAAGCTCCTTGACACCCCCGAGCCCTGTTGACGTTGACTTTGAGCTCGGTTGGTGGCATGAGAGCTTTGGTCTAGCTAGACCAGCCATCCAGTCCCTTGTGGAGCAGACGCGCGAGTACGTCGACAATAACCATGGTCTCTCGGATTGGCCCTTTATTCTGTATGGCCGGTCCGGGCAGACTGCAGCTGAGCTGGGGCGCGTGCGCTACACACCACCACCAAGTCACCATCTTTAACCATGCCCATGGGCCGACAAAACTCGATAGGAGAAGAGAGTTAGCTATCAAGGCAGAGGCGAGACTTGCGCAGTGGGCAGATGAATTGCCAGAGAGGGGTGAGGCATTGTTTGCATTGCTTTGCGATAGGCCTCTTAACAAGATTCTTCCAATTGTGACTGGGAAGTATCTACATTGACGAGCCCTATTTGGATTCTGTGATGGAATGAGCTGGCCTGGCATCCATCCCTCTCAAAACCTAGGACATTGGTCTCATTGTAACAGCAATAACATCACTCCCAAGTTTCTTGCTCACCTTGACTTAGGTGAACGATGGCCTCAACGCCTAAAATTACTGAGCTGGTCCCAGAGACGTTTTTATTGCAGACTTGTCCCCACCTGAGACCGGGTATCTGGCTGAAGCCAGGGGGAGACAGACAACACAACAAGCCCCCATATCTTGGACTCAATTAGGAGTCAACGCGTTGATCTCTCCCGCGAGCCCTAGAGCCAGACACACGGACGCGTACGTATCCGTGCATGAGTCGGGGAATGTGACAGCGGGAGTATCTAGTGTACATAAAACGGAGCGTAGCTCTGATCCCCCGCCGGCAGCCATTTGCGGCATTTGTTGTAAACTGGGATGGGTTTACCGTATAGGCCCTGGACTGTGGGGGCAGCCCACCAGGAGTGCCACGTTGCACATCCACTAGTGCCTGATATGCGAATGCATAAAGGGTTTACCCTAGGCGCTGAAGTCGTCGAGAGGGCGGCGGACTAATGGCCGCTAGAGGTAGGCTTCGAGGGCGTATCGCGGGTAATGTTTACCCTCAGTGAACATGGAATGTTACTTGTATAAAGCCGAAGCGGCCCGGACGTCAAGCAGCAGCCTGATATCGTAGTAAGTCCTGTCATTATCAGCCGGTTGTTCCTGCCGAGAAACCGCAACCATGCTTCGCTCTAAGTTCCCTACCGCCCACCACTTTACGGTGTCCATTTTTGGAGCCCAGTACCACGCCGACTCACCTTCGGAGGAGAAGCTTGCCCTTATCAACCGATTCGACGGACTCATCAAGGGCGCTGCGATTCATGTCGAGGAGCTCGAGCAGAATGACCTCCCCTCCAAGGTCTGGATGAGCTACTGGGCCTCGCCTCAGGCCTTCAAGACATGGTGGGAGAGCCCGAAGACGGCCGCCTTCTGGTCCGCCCTCCCTGCTGATGCCGGATTCTGGAGAGAGACCGTCAGCATCCCCGCCACCCGTGGCATGTACGAGTCCAACAAGCCCCAAGCGTCCGGCTTCGGCCACTGCGGCGAGGCCATCCCCCTCACCGCGAAGACCGGCTACTGGGGTGCCTACCGCTCGCGCATGACCCCCGATTCCCCGGAGGACAAGTTCGAGTCTCCCCTGCCTGCCGTCCCTACACCGAGGCCTCTCAGCGATAAGATCCGGTCCGGCAGAGTCAGAGTCTCCAAGTTCCCCGACAACATCAACTTCGTCGTCGAGGGCCAGGACTACAGCTACATGAACGATAACGAGCGCGCACACTGGAACGAGAACTTCGACGGCCTGACCAAGCAATGGGTTACCAATGTCATGGCCGCTGGCCCCGAGAAGGGCATGGTCAGCGCCAGAGCTTGCCATGCTTTCGCCGGCGACAAGCAACCCGGAGCGACGAACGGCGCTGTCAACGGACACTCTACGATCGGAACGAATGCCGTGAACGGCACCGACGGCGTCAACGGTGCCAACGGCCACACCAACTCCATCTTCCCTGGTCTCGACTACATTCGCCAGGCCCAGATCCTCTTCTGGTTGGATCTCTCAAAGATGGAGTACATCGGTCGCTACGACAAGGTCCACGTCAAGCTCAGGAAAGACTTTCTTGCTGCGTATGGACCTGGTGGAGTTATGGAGGGGGGTGATTTGTTGCTCTGGGTTGACGCTGCAATCCTGAAGGGTGAGGAGATGGACGCTGAATATGTGGGTTGCTACGACGGTACAGGGTTCCTAGCGTACGACGATCACCCGTCATTCGCTAGCGAGGTGGTGGAGGCTTCGCAGCTCCCGTCCTTCTTCGACAAGCCTATTCCGTCCCAGCCTATTGAGTGGTAACCTGGTAATGTTTTTATTATTATTGTTGTTGTTGTATTCTACGTCAGCACGTTCCTTGGGAGGACAAAAGTCGCCTGAAGTAACTAACATCAGCTAAGCAATGTATAAGCGTCTATCCTTGTTAAGAGATTTGCTACGGCAGCCTGCAGGGCGCACTGGTCCAAAAGTCAGAAATTTCCTCTTTAGGACAAAAAGATAATACAGATACAGTATGGTGTGTATCTAGGCCGACTTATAATCTCTATTAATAAGGTCTGATTGGTTTAAATATAATGCTTATATAACCTCACTATACCCTATAGGCCCATAAAAGGCTTAGCCCTGATCCTGGTCTTTTACAACTTCCGGCTTATTTCTGTAGGCCAGCGCCTGCCCACTATTGCCAGTGTACTACGGTGTCAGGCCAAAGTTTAACCCCCTAGGCAAGTACCTATGGGGCAGCCCATACCCACTTAACCAGCCAATCAGAGGTTCCATATCCATCCAACTAATCCACCTATTGCCAGCAGCACTTTTTCCGTAAGGCAGTGATTGAGGCCAATGGGTTACATATCAAGTATTGACTTTGCCCATAGAAATTAATCAATTTGGATGCGTTGCGCTTATGTCAGCCATTTTCACCCCCTTGCCAGCCATCTGTCTGAGCCCCTGTCGTGGGGCAATACCTGACTATCCGGTTGAATATACCCATCACACGTAGTACACTACTATTACAAGTATACACTACTATTACTAGCGCCTACCTACTATTAAGAGTATACACTCTATTTATTATTTCTTAATACTTATATTTATCTTAATAGAATTAAATATTCTTAATTCTTATATTTATTTATATTATATTCTTTAATCTCTATTATTTATACTTAGAATTATATTCTTTCTAAGGAAAAATTTAGACTTTGCCACTAGCCTGTGCACTATAAGTGAGCCAATCAAAGTAAAGACCTAAGAATTCTGCAAAGGGGTAGGTGTAGCAACCCAAGTTGACTTTTGGACTAGTGCGTCCTGCAGGCTGCCGTAATTTGCCCCCGTACCCTTCCCTTTGCGTCCGTCAACCATGACCAGGATCTTGACTAGAATCGTTCCCTGCCGTTATGCTCTAAGGGTTTGTCAGCATCTAGGTTCTATACAGAAGACCCCTATAAGTCTTACAAGCTCTTGGAGGCTTTTATGTATTCAGTCATACAGTGTGCTAATAGCACATCTACGTTATGTAAATATAACTCATATCATAAGTGTTATAGGTAGGCACCTACTGCACTGTGTAGAAAAGAAGACAAAAAGAGAAAAGGCAAGTGAGTGTGTAGATAGTTGTGAAGAAATTAAAACGATTAGATTTGTAAAGATACGAAACTTTCATGCCTCTATTCACACTTCTTTTCTCGAGATTGTTGCTAGCACAACGCGTCATAAACGGAGGGTTGATCTATTCTACACAATATTATGTAACTACAACCATGTTCATCCGTACACGTAAGTTCGACACAAAGACAAGAGCTTCCATAACAGCACTTCCAAGCTTCTGGCCAACCAGCTCCCGTGTATTAATTACCTATGGTCGAGCGAGTCAGTCCTGGTCAAAATAGAGTTCAGCGGCTGGCGGTGTATGTCAGAAATCCGACAGGGGCCCCCCAGCACAGGACCTATCTCCCGGTTCCCTGCCCGGGGAGAGACCCCCCTCCGAGTATTATCTCCACTTTGGGTATTAAAACGACGCATGACTTGAAAGATGCATATTTGATAGCAGGCCGCAATAAAATATCTCTGCCAGGTATCTAATGCTCACCCCCCTACTATTTTGAGTATAGCGGACACTCACAGTACTTCTGCCCACCTACTACAAAGTCACTGTTAGTAAATATGCCTCTATCATCATTACTATCCCCATCACTATCGCTATCACTATTACTATCCCTATGAGTATCCTTATTACTCTTATTACTGATTTTCTAAAGCCTTATATTCTTTACAGACTTAGTCTCTTACATTCAAGTTAAAGGGCGTACAATAGATAGCAACAGAAAGGTATAGAAGATGTATTCTAATTATGTCAGCCATGGGGCGCAAAACCACAGAGAGATTTTACTTACCCCTGCCCAGTAAATGAGCATATCCATGTTTTGCGAGAACCTGCAAGGTTGCATTAATACCACAAAATTAGACAATGAGGTCAGTTAAGAATGCTACTCCTGTGCAGTATCTGCAGCGGAATTCATCTTCTAAAATGATACCATAACATTCCATTTTCCTTGCAGCGCCGCCACTAGCGGCAACACTACCACGATCCGGAGGCTGACGTGTCACTTATTCCTTGATCACTGAGATTTCAGAAAATTTTCGCTGATTTCGTCGCTTAGAAGTGCCTCGCAAAGAGCTGTTGGGTGTTAAGTGTTCCCCGGACGGAAAAGAGAGAGAGGGAAAACAGAATAGGGCCCGGAACTGTCTCCCGTAGGGCTTCAAATTACTACCTCAGCCCACATTCATTTCAGATTGGATTAGCCCTGCCGTTAGCTGCCGCGATTCAGGAACCGCGGGTGCTTGGTCGATCATCGCGTAACTACCGAATAGAATCTGAAGGCCAACCCGGAAGAGCGTCCGAGTGTTTGGCAATTGCAATTCAAAGACGTTGCATCGTCCCGGTTTGGATTGATTGGCGATTCCTCTTGCTTGTTGATAAACCTCCTTCATCAGTCGGACATTTCTCCTTCCACCTTGCGTTAGTTAGTCTTGAGCCGGACATTTTCAAGCCTTGCTTAATACTCATCTTTTTCGTTGGTTGTCGTGAGCAGGAAGACGGTCGCGACCACACGCACAGCAGCCAACATGGGATTGGTACCAGAGTCTCTATGGCCCACCGTCATTGAGGTGTGGGTGGAATATGCCATCGGCATCCTCTTCCTGTTTCTCCGCGTCTTCAGTCGGTGCAAGATGGTTGGTTGGAAATGGCACGGCGACGATTATTTGGCTATTGCAGCCATTATGTTCTTCACAGTATGTCACGCGACACAGTGATTGGGATAGGCGGGACTTTAGCTGACAACCCCCTTAGTTTGAGGTCATGATGTGTCAGATCATTGGTAATTGCGCTTCTCTCGTGACCACCTCGCGGCTGCTCTAACATCACCACTTTAGTTGAAAAAGGAAGCATTACTGGCATGACAGATGCAGTTGCCCTGACATTGACTCCCGAAGAGTACAAGAGTCACGAGACCGGTGCCAAGTGGCTGTTCGCGGCGTGGTACATGTACGTCAGCTTGATCTGGAGTTTGAAGGGCATCATGCTGTTTTTCCTCTTCAGGGTCACGTAATGCCATCCCAATTTGCAAGAGGCTGCAGAGAATTGTAGTCGCTAACACCATGTGCAGCAAGTCTCTGCCCGAGGAACGCCTGGTCAAGGTAATTTCTGTTATCACCGTTGCCGCATACTTGGCAACTCTTGCAGTCATCACCGGTCACTGCCGCCCGATCCACAGGCTTTGGCAGGTATATCCCTACGCCGGAGGTAAGTGATAGCCGGTTTAGCAATCTTTTGCTTAATCAATTGTGACAATACTAACACCTGTCCGAAGATGATTGTACCCAGAATACGTCCAAGTACTACGCGCTGGTCACAACCAATGTTTTGTAAGATTGAGTGCTGCATCTCTGATATCCGCAGTTCATTGGCTGACTTCGGATCAATAGCACCGATCTTTTGATCATGTATATCCCGATTCCCCTGCTGTGGAGGTTGCAAACCACGTTGAAGAGGTAAGTTTTGCTGATTATTTCCAATCCTTTGGGGCATGCACTAACATAGCATACCAGGAAACTGTCTTTTGGTCTGATGTTCTGCGCTGGTTTCTTCATTGTCATCTGCACCCTTCTTCGCTGCATCATCTGCCTGCAGATGCCCGAGAGACTTGATCTAGGTCTCAACTGGTCTATCCGTGAAACCGTAAGAACCCCCCCATGCATTGCAATAACTAGGGCGTACTACTCTAACGTTTTGACGCCCAGGTTATCGGTATCATCTGCACCAACGCGCCCTCGGTCAAGCCCCTCTTCCCCAGCCGCAACAAGGGATCGACCGGGAACAGCCCTATCCCCACCGGACTCGTCACCTTCGGCGGTACCGGCTCAAACAATAAGCGATCGCGCTTGAGGGAAGAACACGAGAGAATTCCTGACGACGGATCGGTTGGTAGCCAGGAGCACATCGTAGGGCCGAAGGGAGAAAACCAGACCAGCGCGTTCGCTGACAACCGTGGCGACGATCGCAGCTTCGACAATGAAGCGATGTATAACGGGGGTATTCAGGTCAAGAGCGAGTACAGGGTTGAGGTCCGGTAGATTGGTTGAACAAAGAACAGCAATCCGACGTCTACATTTGCCTCGTCAAGGAAGACAGGGGCACCCGCGCCAAAAATGCGTTTGAGGGCATGCGGCGGAGAGCAGATTATGCGCGAGCTCTGCAGCTCCGCTCTGTACCCGAGTGTTGATCCTGATCAACATGGTTCTCGGTGCATTGGTCTGCGAGATTGTTAGAGGCTAACAGAGGATATACCTAGACAATATTCAGGAGCCTGGAGAAGACTGCGCGGTTGATAAGAGATATGTAAACCACCAAGACAATGTACCATAGTTTGACAACAAAGTAATGTGGTTACTAATACAAGGTCTAGCTGTCTTACGTCCTGATATCAAGTTTCTAAGCTCCCTCTTTGATATCAAGACTCGATCATGGAATGCTGCTTTTACCTGCTGGAGAACCTTGACAGCTGGCACAGGCTGTAACCTGGCAATGTATCTTGTTCTCTCCGTTTTGCTTCTCGGCTCTGCCCTGTTTCCACTCAGTCATTGATAGCCGACGAACCTCTGAACTATCAGAAGAACTAACGGGACGGGACTATGGGCCATTACGAAAAAATGGATTTTCCGCCAAGTCGCGACCGTTGATTGAACCCACTCTTTTGGCTAAACCGAAAACAGTTGCATTTCCGGGTTGACGAACCCTTCTTCCGAGTCTACATTTCGGTCTAGCCTCATTAATGTAAGCCTTGTATCAAGGCCCATGGACTTTGCGGGGTATAGAATAGCATTCTGCATAACGCCGCGCAATGTTGTTGTTGTCTGATTTGGGCTCTGATCGGCAACAGCAGGAATGTTAGATAACAGCCTGTACCTCGAATAAGGAGTACTTGTTGCTTATATAAGCGCATTAAGTTAAACCTTAGCTAGGCAAGATATACTAGACTATCCCTATAACCCTAACCCTAATTTTTAAAAGTTAATAAAACGTATTTTATAACACTTTTATAAAATATAACCTTGACCCTTGCTTAGTTATTATTATATCAAAGTGTTAGATAGCTTATAGACACCTCGTAAGGACCTTATAACGAAATAGGTGGCAGTAGGGTAGTTATCTAGCATTTCCCCCTTAAATAAGGGGCCTAGAAGTCATTCTTATCTAGGTACGTGTTAAAATAGCAAGGTTTTGCATAGGCGAACTCTGCTAATGAAAAAGGGGCCTTTTTTGGCCTAGCGCTGTATTTATTTAGTTTCTAACTAATATTTCCCCTCACGTTATCCAAGTTAGCGCGTTATCTAACATTCCCACTGTTGCTAATCAGAGCCCAAGTTAACAATTTATATAGATTCAGCGCCTAAGCATGCAACACAAGGAGGGGAGTGATTAGACAAGCTAACAATGCCCTGCTCCCCCCTATGCCCACCTGAGAGTACCGTGCGGTTTTAGAACTAAGGTTCAGTATCATGTAAGGTTTACCTACCCTACCCCACTTACAAATATCCCCTACATCCGAACATTCCGGAAATCCCGCATCGTCAACCACATCACCTTTTTCAAACTATCACAAAATTTTCTATCTACATCCAAATAACGCCATTTTTTCAGAATATCTTATTAATTACACTGTAAAGCAATATACCAAGTTTAAGCTCTAACAGACACTTTATAATGTAGTAGATAACTACACTATTAGCAAGGCTGCTTGTTAATAGGGTATCCTATATACTACTCTATGTTATTAGCTTTACAGTAGGTAAAGTAGAAATACTGCCTTTATTAATATACAGTATTTATCCTAGGCCTAAGAGGATAATCTAGCTACTTATATTTCTACCTAAAAGTAACTAGGTAGATCTATTACTTATTAATAAGTTAAGAGACTAGTAGTATATATAATAGGCAATAGTAAGTAATAATTAGAGAGGAGGTAAATATAGTAATTTCTATAGTAAAATCTATTAATCTAAATAAGGTAATCTAGAGTAATAAATACCTAGCAATAGAAAGTCTATTCTCTAAAGGTTATTTATAATTTCTTCTAACTATTATAGTTAGATATCTAATAGTAAGGTTTCTACTATAGTATAGTTAAAGTTAATATATAGTAGTAGTAATATTAGCTTACTAGTCTTATTAATTACTTAGTAATTAGTTAAGTAGTTAATAGTTATAAGGGGAGCTTATATAGCTTTTTATTAATAAATTACTAAGTTAAATACTAAAAGATATTTAGAGAATATATTATAAGTTAATTACTAAAAAGCTATAGAAATCTATCCTTAAGTATATATAAGTCTACCCTATATATAAGTCTTATTTCTATTACTAAGCACTATTTTATATATCTTCTTTTAGAGGTAAAAGGGACAGATAAAGTTAGATAAAAGAGATAAGAGATAGGAGATAAAATAGAGAAGTAGTATATTATTATAGATATAATAGAAGAGCTTATAGATCTAACTAGCTAACTAGATCTAAGGGAAATAAGGGGTTTACTTATAATTATCTCTTAGGTATTCTAAGGATTTCTCTAGTATACTAGGTTATTAAGTAGGTTAATAAGTAGGGTATTAAATAGTAGGTTATTAAGTAGGTTAATAAATAGGTTAACAAGTAGGTTATTAAACAGTAGGGTATTATTTTATTTATTTACCTTATATAACCTAAAACTATATGCTTAATTCTAAGAGATCTCCTTAGAGGAATAGGTTTTACTTAAAAGACCTATTCTTTATATATAAATATTATTATTATATAGTATATATAGCTGTTTTCTAATTAGTTATTCTTATATCTAGTGTATATAGTGTATACAGTATTATTAATACTATATTGCATATTTTACTTATTTATTATATATATATCTTACTATTATATATATAAGGTCTTAAAACCTTAATATTTAATAATATCTAATACCTTCTCTTAAGGTATATATAATTTATTAGATATAGCTTATCTATAAAAAACCTTAATAGAAAGAAGATAAGATAGCTATTTTATTAAGTATATATATTAGTACAATAGGTAGGCTTAGATCTCTTAGAGAGAATAATAGCCTAAGAGTATATAAGAGAGTATATCTCTTATATAAAGATATATCCTATAGAAGTAAGAATATAGGATAACAAAGGTAAATATAGAGACATTAGGATATAAATATAAAGGGAGTATAATAGTTAGTCTTATTGTTTTATTACTAACTGTTCTATTTTACTTACTTAGAAAAAGAATAAGGTAGACTAGAAATAAGAAGAAATTTAGCCCTTATATAAATATATCTAGCTTACTAGAATATTCAATACTTGCGTAAGCTACTTAGAAATCAACCTAAGATTATATAACTTAATAACCTTAGTTAAATAACCCTAACTTGAAGTAGTAACCTTGTTAAAAAGATAGGGTTAAGAGGAGGTTTCTTAGATATTCTAGTTTCTTCTCCTATCTTTTAATAATTATATAATTAGAAATACTTATATAATTAATATATATATTAATGTACTAAGTTAGTAAATAATATATATATATATATCTTATATATATAAGCTCTAAAATAGAGGAAATATAAGAAAAAGAAGTATTAATAGTATAAGAGATACTCTTAGTTCTTATACTTTTAACACTTACTCTTTTACTCTATTATAGAGTAGAATAGAAGGTAAAAAAGTACCCTAGAATAAATACAATACCTAGAGATATATCTTAATAAGTATTATAACTTATTAAGAAAAAGTCCTAAAAGTATTAGAAAAGATATACTAATATATAGGTATATTATATAGGCTTACTTTTATTATATAAGCCTATTAGCTTTATAAATTCTTAAAATCTAACCCTAGCAAAGGGTTAGATTAAGCTATTAGTAGGTATAGAAGAAGTAAGTATATATTCTACTTCTATATTACCTTTTTTAACCTCTTAATAAGTATAATAGTAATATAAGGTAGTATACTTAGTTCTCTAATAATATTTAAGGTTATAGGCTAAGCTTAAAACTATATTATTATCTTTTAGAGGCAAAAGGGGTAAATAAGGTTAAAGATAAGAGATAAGAGATAAGATATAGAAGTATTATATTATTATAAATATAGAAGAGCTTATAGATCTTACTAGCTAACTAGACCTAGGGATATAAGGGGATTACTTATACTTATCTATTAGGTATTCTAAGGATTTCTTTAGTATTCTAGATTTAATAGGTAAGTTATTAAGTTAAGGGGTATTATTTTACCTATAGTAGGGTATTATTTTAACTACTATAGGGTATTATTTTATTTATTTACCTTATGTAACCTAGAACTATATTCTTTAATTTCTAGGAGATTCCCTTAGAG